ATGACGATACGGGAGAAGACTTCGAAACCGCAGGAGAGAAACTTCTAGAGTATTTTGAGCCTAAAAGACATCATCTTTTTAGCATATACCAATTTCGGCAGTTAGCCCAAGAGGAAGAGGAGTCGTACGATGATTACACCACGCGTTTAAAGCAAGCAGCGGCTCCGTGTGAATTTCCAGAGGGTTGGCGTGAAGTTGAAATACAAATGCAGCTAATTGCAAAGGGAAAATCGAAAAGAGTTAAATGCCGTTTGCTCAGTAAGCCGCACTCGCTTTAGGAGGCGTTAGATTACGCTAGAGCACTGGAATTGTCGGATTAACAAGCGAAGAGAATCGAAATGGAGCAACAAAGTCGAGGGAATAATACCGAGGAAGAGTTGATGAGGGTCTCATTAGGAAGGCAAAAGAGCCCGAGTGGTATCAACAAAGAGTGTTATTTTTGCGGAGGCGCATTTCCACACGCGGGAGGAAAGGAGAAATGCCCGGCATGGGGAAAGAGATGCACCACATGCGGGAAGCTGAATCATTTTGCCAAATGCTGTAGGAGTAAAAGGAAAGGAAATAAGAGTATCGTAAAGACAGTTCATCAGGAGGTGCATTCAGGTAGCAGTGACGCGGAATCCCTTTGTGTGATCGAAGAAGTTGGGGCTGTCGAAAGCAACCCAAAACCCAGGCCAGTAAGAAATATAAAAATCGAAAACCGCGAAGCCAAAGTGCTGATCGACACAGGAGCGTCGGTTAACGTAATGGATGAAGGCACCTTTCAGCAGCTACTTGCCAATAAGATCAAATTGGAGAAGTCGACAAGTGTTTTGCACTCGTACCAAACGAATGAAAACCCGTCCAGGCCATTAATCGTTATGGGCAAACTCGATGCAGTCGTAGAGTCAAACACGAGAATCATCCCGGCAACGTTCCACGTCATTAAAGGTAACACTAACACGGAACCCTTAATAGGATTTCAGACTGCCGAAAGTCTTGGCCTGGTGGTGATTACGAATGCAATACGAACTGATTCTGAAATGTTCACGAGCAAATTACTTGAGGAATACGCAGACGTGTTCCTGAGGATCGGAAAAATGGAAGGAGTGTAGGTAGATCTACACGTTGACCGTGCAGTAACACCAGTTGCTCAACCTCACAGGAGGATCCCGTTCAGCGTAAGGCAAAAACTGGAGGAGGAGCTGGAGAGACTTATAAGGGATGATGTAGTCGAGAAGGTCGAAGAGCCTACCAGTTGGGTATCCCCAGTCGTGATTACACCCAAGAGAACGGCAAATGAAATTCGACTGAACGTGGATATGAGAGAGGCCAATAAAGCCATTCCGCGGACCCATACTACTATGCCTACTCTCGAGGATATCACACATGAGCTCCCACTTGGATATGAATCATGGCTATCATCAACTGGAACTGCAAGAGAACAGTCGGGACATCACCACATTCTCAACGCACATCAGGTTGTACAGATACAAAAGGCTAAATTTTGGCACGACATCCGCGGGTGAAATCTTTCAAGACACCGTGAGCCCCTGCTGATCACCCGAGACATACCTGGATGCCTCAACATCAGTGACGACATTCTTGTGTACGGAAAAACCCAACAGGAACATGATCGAAATCTAGATAAATTATTCAAGAAGGCTAGAGAAAAGAAGATCACGTTTAACAAGGGAAAGTGTGAATTCAATAAGCAAAGTTGTGTGTATTACGGGATGAAGTTAGCTAAAGATGGAGCATCCCCTGACCAGCGAAAGGTTGAGGCTATCAATGCGGCCGAGCCTCCTCGCAACGCGAAGCAACTCAACTCATTCCTATGTACAGTGCAATACAACACGAGATTGATGGAAAAGTATGCTCCTCAAACCGGCCTTCTGAGAGGTTTACTCAAAGCCAACGTTTTTGCTGGGACGAGAGATCATCAGGAAGCGTTCGAGTTTGAAAGAAGGCCTTAGCTCAGACACAGTCTTGGCCTATTTTGACCCCGCCGCAGAGCATGAAGTTCATGTGGAATCTCAGCAACCTTGGTCCAACGTGAGTCGAGTGACAAAGGCTGGAGGGTGGTGCAAGACGCAAGCAGGGCCCTCTCAGATGCGGAACGGAACTACTCCCAAATCGAGCTAAAGATGCTTGCGGCAAATTTCGCGTGCAGGAAATTTCATGTATTCATATATGGCTTACCGTTCAAAATAGTCACCGATCACAAACCGCTCGAAGTCATCCTGAACAACCCTAGGCATCAGACGTCAATACGGCTCCAAAGAATGATGGTGCGAATGCTCGATTTTGAGTTCAAGGTCGAATATAGGCCCGGAAAGACGAATATCTCCGATTATACATGTAGGCACCCGCTGCCTGAGCCGGCGTGAAACCTGCACTAGGAGGGAACTAGGCACTACCAAGGATGTCAAGCAGTACGTGAATTTCGTGGTCGCAAGTGACATTCCCCGGGCTATCAGCAAAGAGGACCTGGTAAAGGCAACGGAAAACGACAAGGAACTAAAAAGGCTAATGACATGAAAGCGTACTTCAATATTTACGATGAATTGGCTGTGGCTGACGGTCTTGTCCTTCGGGGTGAAAGAATCATAGTCCCTCGAGAATTCAGAGAAACTATGGTGAAAATTGCTCATGAGGGTCACCAGGGCATCGTTCGTACGAAACAACTGCTTCGTGCCCACGTTTGGTTTCCCGGAATCGATAAGATGGTCGAAAAGCACGTTGGGAATTGCCTAGCTTGTCAAGCTACCATCCCTTGCCACACCAGAGAGCCACTCCAAATGTCGGATCTGCCAACAGGTCCGTGGAAGAAGATCAGTGTGGATTTTGCGGGACCTTTTCCAAATAAGGACATGGCTTTAGTGTTCTGGGACCAGTATTCAAGGTATCCTGTCGTAGAATTTGTCACAAGTACCTCCGCAGAGGCTGTAATTCCCCAGCTCACACGTGTTTTCACTACTTATGGAATTCCAGAAGAGGTGAAGACAGATAACGGCCCCCCATTTAATGGGTCCAAATTTGCAAAATATGCCCAAGAACAAGGGTTCAGGCACAGGAAAGTCACACCCGGATGGGCGGAGGCAAATGGTGACGTCGAACGATTCATCCAGACGGTCAAAAAGAGCNATCGTTTTGAAGTAATTTAAAGTTTTTAAGAATGATGGATTTAACTGAGTGGTTGCGAGGGTGAAACGTGAGAGTGAATGGAATGCGGTTGGAATCTTCCTTATTCGACGTTTGTAGTGCTGAATGTCCATCAATAAGTTGGGCGCGGTGGTAACCCGCTTGAACGACAGAAACAGGGTAACCACGTTTATCGAAAAACTGGCACATTTGTAGTGTCCAGGCCTCCAAGACCACGCCCAAGGCCCCAGGAGACGTTTACTCGAGTATTTATTATGCACTGTAAAGTGAAAACGGGGTGTGAGACAAAGTAGGAGAACGAACAACTAAGTGGGAAACAATTTACAGAGACTTCAAGCCTCACTAAAGAAAAGGGGGGAGGTGTAGTGTCCAGGCCTCCAAGACCACGCCCAAGGCCCCAGTAGACGTTTACTCGAGTATTTATTATGCAATGTAAAGTGAAAACGGTGTGTGAGACAAAGGAGGATAACGAACAACTAAGCGAGCTGTAAGCGAACTGTAAGCGAACTGTATAAGCGAACTCCAGAACGTTACAATATCTTGATTAAAATCACCGAGTAATAACAGCTCCTTCCTGGTGTTATACATTGTTTGTGCAGCGGAGGATAGTGAGGTCATAAAGTCCAGCTCATTGCATTTGCCCGGTGATCTATAACACGCAAAAACAAGGAAACGGCTGTTGTTATTCCTTGATATCCAAGCAGATTGATTCCACCTTTGGAGATAAGAATTACGGTAATATTGCAGTATAAAAAAAATCGAATTTCAAATTTAAAAACGCAAAACACAACAAATATAGATACAATTAAGTTATGTCAAATGAAGCTCAGTTTAGCACCTCTAGGAATAAACGATTGTTTGTGCCTAATAGTGCGTGATGCAGGTATTCTCATGCACGCTGGGTTCGTCTTACAAGTTAAGTTTAGCACCTCTAGGAATAAACGATTGCTTGTGCCTAATAGTGCGTGATGCAGGTATTCTCATGTGCGCTGGGTTCGTCTTACAAGATATTAGTTATGGCCACGATCCATGTCATGATCTGTTATTCCACTCACAATTTTCTTGCAAGAGCAAAAAGAAAAAGATAAAAAAAAGAGGTCGCGGTCCTTGAATGAGCTTTTGTTCTTTTTCCTCATCTGCATGATCTGAAATCGCCGGGCCCGTGAGCGTAACGGGAGAATACGAGCAGTCTCTCCTTTTCTGCTAAGTCCGTCGAATTTTAAAAAAATAATGACGATGAAAAAAAAAATGTTAGTGTGCTGCACGGAACTCTGGGAGATAGGCACTTAAAAAGTAGGGACTTCTTGAAGTCTAGCATTACGGGAGTGTTATCCCCTGCTTCGATCTGGCTCTTAGCCAATCAGAGCGCCTTTTACATTGGTTACAAACCTAAGGTATAGGATATATAATAGATAAAATTTTCCTAATCCTTGCTGCGTTTAGTGCCTACGTCATGACCTCATGATTCGGCCTTCCCACTTCATCAATAACTGCATACAGGAGAAAATAACGGGAAAGGTTTTTTGAGAGTGGCCTGGGTGGCTGAGGTACGAAGAGAAGTGAGAGAGTAAAGTTATTAATACGCTAAGCGCGATCACGTTTTAGGGATCTTGGATGGTGCAGTTACTAACAACACCGGTCACCAATGCATGCCATTTAACATGTGGCAAATGTTCCTTAAAAACCACGGATTGTGCAGTATGTAAGTCTGATTTTTAAAGCGTCGTATTCTTGAAGTTTTGTTTATTATTTTGGTTAAGGAAAAGTTTGGCTTCAGCATCTACGACGCAACAGAAATTTCGAGCCTAAAATCTTATTGTTTTCAAGCAGGCAAGGCTAATAGTCTACGGATAGAGGTAAAAATGATAGTTGTATGCCATTTGCAAGAAGGCAGACTTAGAAGTAAATTATTCTTCTCAGTGAGGTTTTTTTAATCATAAGTACTGATTTAGAATGACAGATGGGTAATGTTAAACAAAAACGAAGGTGACAAGAAAATAAAATTGTCAGTCTCATGAAGTCATCATTACTGTGATCAATAAAAATCAGAAGAAATTACATGGTGAAACAAACAACTATACATAATTACTACTGCACTATATCGTGATAAACATACAAAAATTTAGAAAAGGGATATGTTTTTCGGGCTCACGCAAAATTAATTCAGGTTTGATTTCAGCGGAGCTAGAAAAGCGACTGCGGCACAACGCCTTCAAAACGCAAACTTGGCCGAGATTACGACATAACTTCATTATCGTGGTAAGAACCGCAGCCGAAATAATATTATCTCTTCATTGTTCGCCGTTTTATTCCTTTCAACTAGACAATGTTTTTATGCTTCTCATCGCGTATTAAATGAACGCTGAAAAACTGATTAAAATAGCTCTAGTGAAAGACATCAACACTGTTGCTCCCCAAACGACTTTAAAAAATTTCTCCATTACTAGACTCCGCAACAGAACACGGTTAAAATCAAAAGTGTCCAATTGTCGAGACAAATTTTCCGTCCAAAGAGAATACTTGAACTCTTCTGTTCCCAGTATCAGAGAGGATCAAATTGTTAAATTTGTCAATTGCAAGTCCTATGGGATGGCATAGCTGTCCGTTACCAGACCCCTCGCTGCCAATATCGTATAGCAACATTCCGTCCTCATCATAAACACCAACGCGGCTAGCTTTATGATCAGAGACAAAGAATTTCTCCTCGTGATAGATTGCGCACCATACTGATTCCTCATGTTCAGAGGCACTGAAACGTTTCAGTAATTCTGTTCCATCCGGGGAGGTAACAAAGACATTTTTTCCATCACAAGCGGTAATGCGATCGTCTTTTCCAGTGGATATGTGAAAAGGCCTTTCCAAGTGTGCACTATTGATGTACTGGACAAAACTACCGTTCTCAGGAAACAAACGAACCTTATTAACATCATGAGGAGTAACGGCAATAATGTGTCCAGCCTGGGTAAAACTTAATGCCGTACAAGAAGTACCCAATCCTATCTCTCTCAGATAACTCCCATTGGAGTTAAAGAGATGAATTGTTCCTTTTGTAACGTCAGAAACCACAATAGTTCCTGATTTCTTACTAACAGCAATGTCATAAGGATAATTGAATTGTCCTGGTCCGTTGCCACTTGAACCAAACTTAAACTCAAACTTAAATTGATACTGATGGATGACCTCAACTGTCCATGGACCTTGATCCAGCGGCTGTCCATTAACTTCAATTTTCAATTCATATAATCCAGCCTGATGTGGTGTATATTTTACTGTGTAAATACCATCTTCCTTGTCTTCAATCTCTGGATCTGTTTCTAAGCTATCCCCTGTTGAAGTGCGAATGTCACACTTAATGTGATCATCCTTGTTATAACTTAGTCTTCCCTCTGAATCTCTCGTTGTAATAGTAAAATATGTCTCATTCTGTTCTCCAATCTTTTCACAAAGTTTTCCGACAAGTGTCGATGATGGATCCGTATGGTTTACAAGAACTCGATCCAAAATATCCATTTTCTGTTCTACAACATAATTTACACGGGGTGGTTTGTAGATCTCAGGTTTTTTTGCATTCAAAAGGTCCTCGCAACGTCCAACAATCACTGCCTTTGTTTGCAAAATTTCAACATTGATATTCCTTTCTAAGATGTTCTCACCTTGTTCAAGAGAGCTTCTCAATTGACCGACAGCGAGCTGGAAGTTTTCCAGATGTGTTGCGTGAGCTTTTTGATGCGCTTGATTAATTTCATCGAATTTGGCATTCATTATCGCTTTATGTTCAGTTAAGAAGCGAATACAATCGTCCACAGTTTCGTTCATCTTCTCTTTTGCAGCCAATGTTTGTGTTTTGTTTTTATCCAATAACTCAGTTTGGTACTTCATTTCATTTTCAAAAGTAACAATCTCCGCTTTCATTTTCTTCAAAGCCTCATTTATTTGTATCTTTTGTTCATCTGCAGCTTTCTGCATATCAACCATAGTGTGTCGATTGTGACTCACAACACTGCACTTCATGCAGGTACAAACGTTACAATCTTGACAATAATATTCAAGTGGCTGATCTTGGTGGTATTGCTCTGAGCACATAACTGGTCTGCGAATCAACTCTTCCATATCGTCTGGCTGCAAATTCTCGACAGAGATATTTCTGTGACCTCTTGTGGACTTGATGCGCTGATGAGCTTCAAAACAAGGTGTACATAGAAAGCTCTGGCACCCAAAACAGTAATGAGTTGCTGTGTTGTTTTCTTCACAGCTGCCGCATTGCTGGGACTCTATACTGTCATCCGTTAGAGCAAGGAGATCCACTAGTCGGTTGAGATGAAAAGATGCAGGGAGGCCGCCAAACGTGTCCTCTTCAGGAATTTGAAAACTAGCCTGACAAACCGGACATTTGATTGTTGTCTGAAGCTGTCTTCTTGCGCAGTTTGCGTGCTTGTCGAGACACAGCAGACAGAACGAATGTAAACATGGCAGAGTCCTGGGATCTTTGACTGTCTCCAAGCAGAGAGGACATTCAGCCTCTTTCCTGAGGTCTTTAAACAGTTGTTGAACATCCATGGTGAAATCGGCCCCTCGACTGGCTTAGAATGTAATTAAAGACGATTATCAGACCGGTTTTTCGTGGATTGTCAGCTCAACCGGAAAAGATCAGCTTTTCTCGGAAAAGCCAGAGCACGTACACCGAGGATGATCACCCGATGTGTTTCAAAAGAAAGCTATGATGATCTTAAATGAAAGATCAACGAACAAAGATAGCAAAGGAATCGCATTTTCCATTGAATTTACCCTACAACTGCAAACGGGATCGCGTGACTTGATCTTGTTGATTGACGGTTTGACCACGTTACGCCTCAAGCATTTTCAGCTGCTGCAACATGCTAAAGATGTAAATACGTCTATGTTTGCGCAATATGCACAATGCTAGATTATTATGAGCATGATCGGTCGCCTTCTTAATCCAAAGATCAAACGAGCTTTGTTAGCCGCCGGGAAACACTACTTGCACGACCCTTCTATAGAAGCAATGGCCTGTCCCCCCTCTGCCTTCATCCAACCAGGTTTCTTTTTCCATCAGTCTGAGCTGCTTGAACGCTTTCATTGTACCAGTTTTCATAGCTGCTTAAATACTTAATTTTATCAAATGAATGACCCGTATTGCCCCGTGTTTGCTTTTAATGAAAATCATTTTTCAGCCGAGTGTGAGGTCGTTACGGGAAAATCTCAAGGCTTCGCTCAGTCAATACAGCCAGGCTGAGGTTTGTAATTTTCCCGTATTGACCGAACGATCGAGGTTGATAAGTTGTTTATTATATGGTTCACGATCGTTTCTGACTAAAAGCGGAAAATGAATTCAAGGGGAAGTAGTCACTTCACATCCGGCGCTTTCCAAACCCAAGATTCATACCCAAGGTATAACTGTACTAATGAAGTCAGTGAAGTATCCCGTATTCCATCAATAAAACGTTCTTTTTCGGGAAAATTGTGATGTCACAACTTGTTAAACGCGTTCTAAATTTGAAGTGGGATTTGCCGTCTGAAGCATCTCGTCGGAGACCTGTTTGCACTTTTAGTGACACGGTCATTTAGCGGACATTACTGGAAACATTGCAAATGGCCTAGCTGGTTAAAAAACCTCTACCTTCTCTAATTTACCTCAAGGATTAGTCTTATTGTCTTTACAGCAATAGCGGTTGGTACAAAGAAAGGAGAAAAAAAAAAAAACAAAACAAAAAAAAAACACGTTATACCACGTGACCGGACCTCACGGCATAACGCCATTTGCAAGAGAGCAGGCTTTAAAATAACTTCATCTGAACATTTCTTTTAAAATCATAAGTACTGATTCCTCATGAATGATAAGGACTAGGAAATAAAAACGGAGGAAACAAAAAAATATCAAATGAAATACTTATTACAAATAAAAGTTATCTGCTTTACAGCCCTAGTGAAAGACATGAACACAGTGGTTCCGATAATCAGTTACAAAAACATTTCCATATTTGGTCACAGCAACATAATACGGTACGAATGAAAACCCTCCAATCATTGAGACAAACTTTCCGTCCAAAGTGAATACTTTTTCATAACTTTTTGATTGCCTCCAAGCAGAGGACATTCATCCTCTTCCCTGAGGGTTTTAAACAGTTGTTGGACTTCCATGGTTAAATGGCTTCTGCATTCACTATGAATGATTGTCTGATTGCGCACAGAACGTAAGAAAGCATCCAAATGAATGCTGGGATTGGCCAACCTTGTACCAGGTCCCTCAATGGGTTTGTCTGATTTTAACAGTGTCGTATTCTTGAAGTTATGTTTAATTTTTCGGTTAAGGGAAGTTCTGGCTTCAACATCTAATACGCGACAGGAATCTTGAGTTTAAAATCTTTTTGTTGATAACCAGGCAAGCCTAATGGTCTGCAGGAGAGGTGTAAAATTATGAAGTTGTATGGCATTTGGAAGAAGACAGACTTTGAAATAAATTGTTCTTCTCAGAACTTTTTTTTATCATAAGAACTGATTTATTAAGACTGATAGGTACCGTTAAACAAAAATGGAAGTGACAAGAAAATAAAATCGTCAATCTCTCGAAGTCATCATTACTGTGATCAATAAAAATCAGAAGAAACTACATTGTGGGACAAACAACTATTCATAACTACTACTTCACTATATCGAGATAAACATACAAAAATTTAGAAAAGGGATGTTTTTCTAGTTCACGCAAAATTAAACTCAGGTTTGAGTTCTGCAGAGCTAAAACAGCGACTGCGGTACAGTGGCTTCAAAATGTAAACTTGGCCAAGATTACAGCAACTATTGTGGTTAAAACCATAGCCGAAACAATAGTATCTTTTCACTGTTAGCATACTTTGTTTCTTATAAAAATAGCTACAGTGAAAGACACAAACACAGGTGTGTTGCAAATCACTAAAAACAATATTTCCTTTTCTAGACACAGCAACATAGCTCGGTGAAAATGACGGCTGTCTACTTGTTGAGACAAATTTTTCATCCAAAGTGAATACTTGAACTCTATTGTTCCCGGTATCAGAGACGTTCAAATTATTAAAATTGTCGATTGCGAGTCCCATGGGATAGAGCAGCATTCCGTCCTCATTATAAACACCAACACGGTTAACTTCATAATCAGAGACAAAGAATTTCTCCTCGTGATAGATTGCGCACCATATCTAAATATCTGCGTTACGAAGTTTAGCAGATATTTGTTTTCTGCACGTTGTACATGGAATGTGGTCCTCGCTAAGTATGCGTTCTGGTATGTCTCCTGTGTGTAGTTGTTTGCATAGTGGTATATAAGTCCGAGGTTAATTACAATATTAAACGAGACTTACCTGTAAGTTGAAGTTTGATTACGATTCTATCTTGTCATCAGTCCGGAACGAAGGAGTCACCTGAGATGCGCATGCACATTGCTGATCAGTATTCAACGTGAGTGGTACAGGAAAAGGAACGAAGGCTACGGGGGGGAGGGTGAATAAGGGCATGTGACTCCTTCGTTCCGGACTGATGACAAGATAGAATCGTAATCAAACTTCAACTTACACGTAAGTCTCGTTTAATTTTGTAATTCTACCTTGTCATCAGTCTACGTCACTACGGAGCCACATGAGACTTCAAAGTCCTGTAGCACGACCTGCTCATTAGACGTAAACATTTTATTGTGATCAGGAGAGGTATTACGTATTATGATCACAGTGCGCCTGAACTCAGTACCACTGAGCCGAAATTGGCTGTATCAGTGTCAACAGGTTTATCATAGAATCTCGCAAAAGTGCTTGAGTTAAACCACTCTGCACTCTTCATAATCTCTGCTAAATTTAAACCTTGAGCCTTGCAACTGGATGTTGATGCAGCTCTGCTGCTTTGAGCCGAGTATTTAGTAATATCAATACCAGCTGACTTTAAAACTTGCTTGACCCACGTGGAAATGGTATCTTTGGATACAGATTTAAAAGGTTTGACATGACTTATCAATAACTGCGAGTGTCCCTTTCGCAAGGCTTTTGTGCGTTTCAAGTATTCCCTAAAGTGTTCGACAACGCAAAGATTTTTATCGTTTTGATAAGCAATCAAATCGATGGGTGCCAGATGTCTTCCAGGCTTGCTCTGTTTCAGTTTCTCACATATAGTTACTCTGCATCTGTCCGATCCATTTCTTGAATATAGTTTACATCAAACTTGTGTATGGTCTGTCCTCGCTGTCCAGTTGTGAGGCAAAGTAGCATGGTCAAATTTAAAGTAAGCTGCTTTTAAAGGGTCAAGGAACTCAAGGTATCAACAGTTTTCAAATATCCTAAAACAACATTAACGTCCCAAATCTCAAAGTATTTGGGTAGGGATTGCTTCAGCTCAAAAATTCCCTTCATGCAACGAACTACGAATGGGTGCTCTCCAAACTTCATACCGTCCTCTAAAACAAGGAACGAGGAGAGCGCAGTGCGCGCTGTGTTTATATCACTGTATCCTAGACCTGACTTGTACAATGAAACAAGAAACTCAACACCATTTGTTACACCAGGTTGAAAAATATTAATGTTTCTTCCTTTACAGTACTGTTGCCATCTACCAAGATAAATTTGATACTGCTTGGAGGTGCCTTCCCTCCACGAGGCCATAAGTACATCCTTTGCCCCCGGCGACAAGTCATACTTGGTTAATCCTTCCCTGATAAGAGACAAACGAGTAGGTTCGGGTTGTGCCATATTGGGTGAATCTCCTTGGCATGACTTGGCAGCCAAAGAAGGTCTTTCCTGGCTTTCAGATATATTGGTTTTTGTTTGAGTAGTTGGAGGGCTACCGGATACCATGCTTGTGTTGGCCAATCCGGCAGCACAACAACACCCTGTGACCCCTCGCTCCTCAATTTTTTTACCACTGTTGGAATAAAGGGAGGAAAAGCATACAAATTAAGATTACACCAGTTTAAGCTAAATGCATCAATAGCAAGAGCCTCTGGGTCTGGTCTGTAAGACACATAATTAGAACATTGATGGTTTAAACGAGCGGCAAACAAGTCAATTTCAGGTTTGAAATCTAGTCTCTCCAGAGCATTAAAAAGTGACAGTTTGTCAAGCTTCAACTCAGATTCTCTCTGGTTTCTTCTGGATTAAAAATCTGCTATAATATTTTGATTATCAGGTATATGTGCTGCATTAAGCCATATCTTGCGTGCTATACACCATTTCCAGATCTTTTTAGCTACAGAATTACAAGGATCTGAGTGACTTGTTCCCATATGGTTAATGATATTTACTGCTGTAGTGTTATCACACATTATTCTTATGTGTGTGTTGTTGTTTTTAGCGAAAGTCTGAAGACCTAAGAGAACAGCCAACATTTCCAGATAGTTGATATGGTGCTTAGACTCTGAATGGGACCAGTTTCCTCCTGAGGATACCCCTGACGATTCAGCCCCCCATCCCTGAAGGGAAGCATCTGTAGTACTTTGTTGATGGGGCTGGGGATGATGTAGTACATTGTACTCAGTTTCCACATTTTGTATCCACCACTGAAATTCGGATTTAGCATGGTTCGATAAGGTCATAGTTGCATCAAAATTACCCTTTGTCCTCTTTAGGGCTATAGATTTATCTTTTTCCAGGTGTCGGTAGTAAAGAGGTCCGTACATGACCCCAAGGAAACTGGAAACTATTTTCCCAATGACCCTGGCTACCTCTCTAATAGATGGAGATGAACATGCTAGTAGCTCAGTACAGGATCTTTGTAAAGCGATAGCTTTCCCCTGGTCAGTTGAATTGTCATTGTAACCGAGTTTATTACAAATCCAAGGGTGGTGAGAACCTGTGTGGGTATGAAAATGGATTTCTCCGGATGCACAACCAAGCCTAAATTGTCAAACAAAACAATGGTGTACAACATTTTGGACACACTCCTCACAAGTTTGCCCTTGCAAGTAAAGGTCATCGAGATGTGCCACAGCAATATGCCCCTGCTTGTGCAAAGTAGATAGAGGAGGCTTAAGGATTTTCGTAAAAATCCTGGGGGCACATGACAACCCATTGGGAAGGCAGGTAAATTCATATATACTTCCTTCGCTTCCCACATAAAGCGTAAGAACTTTCTATCTGAAGGCTTAATGGGGATGGAGTAGTAAGCATCCTTTATGTCAACAGAAGTCATAAAACAGTTTTTGGTTACAAATTTTGTTATAGTGGAAAGTGAATCCATCTTAAAATGGTAGTGACTGACTGACTCATTCAACTTTTTAAGGTTGAGTATAAGTCGGTTTGACCCATCCTTTTTGGGGCGAAGAAAGACAATAGACAATATTTGCCCAGTCCTTGGTGACACCTTTGTGATGACCCCTTTGTCAAGCAATTTCTGCACTTCCTGACTAACAACAAGGTACTCTTGCTCTGAAAAGGTTTGATTAGGCAATCTATATTGAACGGGAGTAGCGGTACAATCAATACTTGCTCCTAAAATAATAGACAGTAGTACTTTGTCATTAGTTAGTGTTCTCCATGCTGCAAAGTGTGCAGCCACCTGTCCAGCCTTAAAAGTAGCACATAAATTTTGTAAATAATTCAATAAGCGGGGTAGAGAAGTTGTAAACCCACTTACCATAGATTTTATTTGAGGCAGCTGTGCCATTATTTCTTGTCGCTGTTCAGTGGTTTTTTCCTTTTGTAAGGCCACTGTTGGCCTTTCCACAAAAAATCATTTTTGGGGCCTTTAAAGTAGCGGTCATTTTGGTGTGAGTTGTGCTCTCTCCCTCTATAGGGTCCACTCTTAAATGTGGTTGCAAAGGAATGGCTGATTTTGCTTGCCTCTTTAGCATCTCGCAATTGTTTTGCCAGGTCATCCCCAAAAAGATATTGGCTACTAATTGGCACTTCCGCAGAGCAAATGGTAGAATACTCAGCTTTCAATGAAGGCTTAATTTCATCTCTTCGCAACCGGGCTAATTGCATCCCCAACATTGCGATACTATCCACTCGTTGCGCTACTATTTTGTTATCTGGGGCAGGTGTATGAATCAACACGTTTGTTGCTTGCAAGGTTGCAAATATGATTTTGCAGATAATTTGTTGCATGTTTTATATCTTCAAATCTGTTTTCCTTTTCTTAGTACTCATCTGACTTCAGATTTCGGGGTTGACCTTTATAGTCTTTATGTCAGAACAGTTTTGGGGCTGTTTGTATTTGTATACCAAACTTTTCATTTTATCGGTCGACAGTTTCTTGTCCCATCGTTTTGTAGCAATATCGGCCAACTCTGGTTGGATTTTCTCGCCGGTGGCGTCATCGTCGTCAAAACTGTTCCCCAAATATTTGAAGGAGTTTTGCCTCCTTTGTGGGGATTTCCCGCTTTTTCTGACCGGTGGTCTTAGGACGCTCGGTGAGTATTTGGATGTCGCCTAAAGCGTCCAGGTCGTCGCTAGCGTTCAGACTGATGTCGTCGTCCGTGTGGTTATCACAACGCCTTCGTTTGCCTGACTTGCGAGTGTTATCATCGGACTCAGAGTCCGAGATATCCGAGACGTCGGATGTAGACTTTCGTTTTGAGCCCGGTGGGCGTACGCCTGTGTTGGGGTGTTCACACAATTTAGCCAGAAGCCTGGCCATTTTGCCCATATTTTCGTTTATATTATCCAGGGACAAAGCAAGGTCGTTGGTACTGATGGCAGTTCCCGGGTTTTCCCAGCTGTAAGCGTTGCGGGAGACTCCCGCAATATGGACCGATGGTGTTGCCTCTTCACTATTCATTTTGAAAACGAAAATCGTCCAATCTGTGGAAAAAAGTCGGTAAGTCACCGAAAATTGTGAACTTCCCTTCCCTTCCGAGTGTCACTCTACCGATAAAGCGGTGATGTTTAAGATTGAAGTAATTTTTGACAGAAAACACTCACGAACTTGTACTTCACAGCAAAAGGCAAAGAACTGATCCGCAATGCGCATGCGCATCTCAGGTGACTCCGAAGTGACGAACACTGATGACAAGCTAAGGTAGACTATTGTTATTCATCCTTCGGGTTGTGAACGCCGTCGCATACAGAATCTTTTTTCAGTTCATCGACCAGAGTAGCAGACCTTCACTTTCCTTGGACGCGGCCGACGCCGGTATGGCCGTAATGGATGCAGCGATCAGCGAAGCGATTCAGTCTACTGTTAACGCGTCTGTCTGTCGTCTAACGGATAGCCTTACTGGAGTGATTGAGGTAGTTTTGCTCAACGTTTTTCCGAAGAAAATGGCGCCACCGTCGAGCAAGCCGTCAAAAAGGCTCGCCGTGAAAACTATACATGTAAAAGAAAGGGAAATCAACAGTAGCTTGATCACGAGCTCGAGGTGCTGGATAAATTTGATGCGGCAACGAGTGCTCTAAAGAACAAGTCCTACGACAAAGTGAAAGCCGCCTTGGAGGAAGGTACGGGCATCGTATCCAAGCGCGTAAAAGCCATTAAGTTAGCTGATAAAAGCGAGTTTGGTTGGCAAACCGTGAACGAGTACCTGTCAGACGAGTTGGCGTCAGGCTCAGACGACGAGAAAAGGATGTATCGCGCGGAGAGGAGAGCGGAGAGGAAAATCAAAGACAAGCGTCGTCGTTAGCCTCGCCCTTTCACTCGTGGTAGTTCCCAGCCTACCGCTTCGAATGTTTCTTCAAATTCGCAAAGACCCTTTGCAGGCGATCATGCAGTCCGTAAGGATTCAAACCCTCCCCGACACGTGGGTCCCTGTTTCAAGATAAGTATTTAAATCTTTTTCGCTTGGCTCAGTTCACTCACGGGTCCTTCCCTCTTTGTTTTTTACTTCGGATTGATGGCGTTGCTCGCAGCCCACAATCCAATGTTCTCCATGATTTGTTTTGCCTTTTTTTCATTAGGTTTTATTCTCTTAAGCTAGTGCAGAATATCTAAATATCTGCGTTATGAAGTTTAGTAGATATTTGTTTTCTGCACGTTGTAGATGGAATGTGGTCCTCGCTAAGTATGCGTTCTGGTATGTCTCTTGTGTGTAGTTATTTGCATAGTGGTATATAAGTCTGAGGTTAATAGGCCATTTTACAGTTGTGTACTTAGTTGCCAAGCCTTTGATTCAGAGTGAGGCTAGAGGTGACCTTGTTGTGGTAGAGACCTGTATCTCGTTAGCATGATAACAAAGTGATTTACATTTGAAAGGCAGCAAGGTTTGTATGCCCTAGCCTCACTCCCGTTGAAAGGCTTGGCAACCAAGTACACGACTGTAAAATGGACTATTGGTATTCATCCTTCGGGTTGTGAACGCCATCGCATACAGAACTTTAATTTTGCGTTGTTTATCTTATAGTGCGGGGAGTTTGGCCATTTGAGAGCCTTCTGTTCTAAGCCGTCTGTTGCGTCAAAGAGTGACTTGCGCCATTCTTGACGAGACGTGGATTCAAGCTCAGAGGACGTTCTTCAGCGTTCAGTTGAGTTTGATTTTTCTTCCTTTTTTTCGGGTAGTTACGACGATTTTAATGTTAAAAGCACTAGCAGCGGTGTCAAGGGTCGTTTGAGCGCCTCCATTAAATTTTGGAAGAGTACCTTGAGTGCTCCTGAGTTTGTACTTGACACCATCAGGCGTGGGTGCAGGCTTCCTTTCGCGGAATATCCGCCCTCGTGTTTTTTGGCTAATAATAGATTGGCCTTTCAGCATTCTGAATTTGTGACACAAGCCATCTCGGTGCTTTTAGCCAACGGTTGCATTATTGAGCACAGTGTTCCGCCATTTTGCGTTAACCCCTTGTCAGTTGCTGAAGGGGAGAAGTCATCGATCTCAGGCACGTTAACAGCTTCCTTGTGAGGTTTAAATTTAAGTACGAGAATCTTCGCTCCCTATCTCATCATGTTGATATCTGCTTGGAGCATCAGCGGTATCTCGGTTTTTCTTGGCAGTTCAACAGCGTCCCAAGATATTTTACCTTCATAGCTTTGCCTTACGGCCTTAGCAGCGCCTGTTTTTGCTTCACCAAATTGTTGCGTCCGTTAGTCTGTCGCTATGGGTCACAATAGCTTTATCTATCTCGACGATGGGCTCGGAAGTTTACCGGATAACTGTTCCGCCGCAGCAGCTGTCATTATCCAAAAGAAAGAGCTCGACTCCTCAGGTTTCCTTGTGAATGAAAACAAATCTCATTGGCATCTCACGCCGCCTGAGTGGGCGAATGGCTGGGTTTCGTGATTAACACTATTACTATGTCTTTTCATATTCCTGAAAGGAAGGTGGAAAAGTTTAAGAGTCTTTTAGGTTCTGTAATTGGAGATACGTCGCCCTCGTATCGAGAATTGGCCGGAATCGCCGGTTCTATAATTTCTGTTACCTTGGCAGTGGGGCCCACTTCACGTCCTCTAACCAGACAAATATACCTCGCAATTGAATCACGATCAGCGTGGGACCACACCATTCGTTTTTCTCCGGCTGTTTTGAAAGAGTTGAGATTTTGGTACAGCAACATCGACTCGTTTAACGGCTATTCTGTTTGTCCACCCCCTGATTCGTCAACGGTTACTTTCTCTGATGCTAGTGATGTCGCCTTTGGCGGGTTTTCGGCCTCCTTAGACGGCGTAATGGCTAGCGGCATGTTCACGTCTGAAGATCTTGGTCAGAGCTCCACGTACCGCGAGTTGAAAGCTATTTATTATGTTCTATTGTCCTATGCGGAGAAGCTGCAGCAGAAGAGAGTAAAGGTTTTCGCCGACAATCAAGGTGCTGCGAGAATAGTTTCTGTTGGCAGTTCCAAAGCCCACCTCCAGTCTGTTGGCATGAGCATTGTTGATTTTTGTTTTTCAAACGGGATCACCCTTGAAGCACAGTGGATTCCCAGGTCGCAGAATGAGAGGGCTGATCTCCTCAGCCGATTCTTTGACAAGGACGATTGGCGCGTCAATCCTTCAGTTTTCCGCCTCCTTGATGCTAAATGGGGTCCTCATACATTCGACCGCTTCGCGACCTATTACAATGCTCAGCTCCCTCGGTTTAACTCGAAGTTTGCCTCTCCCGGATGCAGTGGGGTCGACGCATTGGCACAAGACTGGAGCGCCGAAAACAACTGGATATGTCCCCCAGTTAGTCTGATCGTCGATTCTGTCCGTCATCTCATGTCTTGCTTTGGCCGCGGGACATTGATCATCCCCGAATGGCCCTCCGCTCATTTTTGGCCTTTCTTGCGTGAAGGGTCTTCTCGGTTTAGCTCGTATGTCGCGGAAGTGTTTGTTCTGCCTGCAGTCGAGGATCTACTATTGGAGGGTCCTGGTCAGAAGCAGATCTATAAGTCTCGACCTTCTATTTTTNTAGGTGCAAAATTCAAGAGGAATATTGCAATCACAATCAACATTTCAGATCACAATCAACACACCAATTTGTTATAAATCAACACTTACGATCACATTCAACGAAATATAACCACCACCTTAAACACCAATAATGGCACTAAACCGAATTTTAACAGGCAACGTCAAAGTCGACAAAATCAGGGTTCAACGAATGTAAATCAGTCAAATTCCAAGGGTTTAAAAGGGAATCACATCCAAAAGGTAAAAAATTTGATCAACAAAGTCATAGAAAGATGTCAACAAATCCCATAAAGCCCGCGGGTCTTCACGAAGTGCATCTTGGGAACACAAGGTTTCAAAATGGCGAGTGGTGCTGGCAGCCTCGAAGAACAAGTCTGGTCGGCCGTCAGATCCGCTGTCAGAGAAGAACTATCCTCACGAAGTGGAAGTCAGTCATTAGTGGAGAGAACGAGGCAGTTAATAAGTGCATCTGCTTTCTCAGCTTCTCGTGCTTTAAACGAAGCGTCTGCACTTAGTGTCGAAGGCACAAAGCCACAAACGAAACGCCAAAACAGCGTGCCATCTCATAGCCTTTGGTTTAAAAAAAGGCTAATTATAAGCAATCAACAAAAGTGCAAGTCGTCCCTAAAAGTGTTTACCTTTTACAGGAACCCGATATTGATGCTGACGAGGAATATGGTCTAATCGACAACATGATTGTGATCAAAGGTCAGTGCGATTTTTATCCTGATTACTCAGAAGAAGAGATACGGTCGGAGTTGGTTTCCTTGTTCAAGACAAAGTTACCCCTTATTACAAGCAGGGATTTCGACTTCGTGAGAAGGGAAAGAAATACTATTTCTGTGCTAGTAGTTAAAGAGAATCACAAGTGGAAACATAAACATGTTAAAGATCTTTGTGGCACAGGACGGCTGTATGTAAGATTGAATGTGGCACGGGAAACCCTAGTCACAAGTGATGATGAGATCGAAGGAGGTGATCAGCATGAAAGCACTGAAAGTCAATCATCTGTGCAAGCTGTTAACAACCAGCCAAATGTCCTTTGTGTTAGCTCTGGAAGTATGCAAGTGGGCACAACTGATGAAGTTGAGAGTTACAGCTCCCCTCAGTGGTCTTATCAGTCTGTGGATTCATCATTCATTGATTGGTGTCGAGTCTTTGTCATCCATTTTTACAAGTGCAAGTAGAGAAACTATGAGGGACTCACTACTAACATACCAGGACATTGGGCTTGCTGCAGATGCTTTGAGTGAAAGCACAATGAAGAAGGAAGCAAAAGATGAAAGTGTACACCAAATTCTCAACAGACTTGAGGTCTTCATGAAGCCTTATATGTGTTTAGAAAAGCTAAAGGTTGACAGAGAGGATATCGTCATTGACTTTTTTCAGTTTTACAAGAGTGTTCATTTTGATCCAGTGATACCCATCAAAGTGCAGATCAAAGGAGAGCCAGCAGTAGATACAGGAGGACTGCTTAGACAAGCATTCACAGATGTTTTTGCTAAACTCAAGTTGTTCATTTGCAATGTCATTGAACCCCGTGATTTCCTCCAGGCCAAATTCTACAACTCTTCTCCTTATCGTCCACCTTGAAACTAATAACATGTCAGCTATGTGCTTCCATTAAAATCCCAAGGACCTTAACTGGGTTAATGCATCTTCGCTTATTTGCAATCTTGGCCGGCCAACAGAACCTGTGTGAATTACTGGAGGAGTTTCCAAAGAGTAAATTGCCAATTAGTACATTGAGTTGAGTTTTCTTGTCTTCTAGTCCATTCTATGCTTAACAAAGTGAAGTTGTTTAAGAGCTCTCGCGAAAAGGTTCCACACTCAGACCCTCCGGGAACTAAAGGCAGGATTTGCTGTATAGAAAGGACAGCATGTTCCAAACGTACTGCGATAGTTTCTCTGCGATAGTCGCTACCACCGACAACAGTCCTTCTCAGGACTACACTCACCCGGACGATCAGACTACACGTTCACATGTTACCCCCGGGTTCAAACCATTTACTGCATAGTTTCTCTAGTAGCACTAGTTGAAACTGGGGACGTCTCGCAATCGTTTAGGAGATCCACAAGCGCCTGAAAGAACCCTTCCCAATCATCCATGGAGGAAGAACTACTGTCGGCCATCTTTAACTGTCTCTCCTCATTCCCGTTCCCCGGAAACATTTACCATGCAAAGATTCATGGGATTTGTTGATCGATTTTTCTGCACTCTTGCTTGTGATTGCTTACAGATGAATGTGATTGTGTTTTTCTTCTTCCATTGTTAAAGTTGATCAATTGTAAACATCCTTAAGTGCAATTTAGTTTGTTGAATATGGCTGAAATATTTTTCTCTTGAATTTTACTCATTCATATTGTTGATTGAGATTTAACTTGTTGAATGTGATTGAAATATCTATTTCTTGAATTTTGCACTATTCGGCTTGCTATACCCGCCCCAACGAAAGATGATTGTGTAATACACTGCTTCGAAACGAGTTCCGGGATTGGCTAACCCTGCACCAGGTCCCTCAAAGGGCATGTTGTTTTGCGCGGCCTGAATATTTGACAGAAGTATTCTGGTAGTTGTTAACCTAGTTGTTCGGTTGTTGATGCAAGTATTTTGTCAGGCTGAGCGTGATGGCAGTCGTTGAAAGTAACTCAAGCTCATTCTTGAGCTCTACTCAAATATGTCTAGGCCTTCAAAAGAAATGTGTTAAATGTGATGAATTTAGTTTACTTAAGTTTGTTGAGCTTGCTTAAAATGTCTCATAACCTTTATAGGAAGTCAATTAAACATGATTTGATTTTTGTTGAGCTTGGATGAAATTTAATGTGAACTCGAGAGGAAACTCGTTGAATGTGAAGCCAATTCGAAAATGGTATGATTCATCTTTTCCTCTCTTATATTTGTATCGTTTTGTTTTAATATAAAGAAAATGTGACATAACTCAGAGGGAATCTAAT